TGCAGCTGTGCCGGAGGAGCAGTGCTCAAGCGTTAGTAGAGATGGGGGGCTATTACTGGCGGTCAGGTTCTCAGCAATCACCTCTGTGTTGATAGTGGCGTGGGGCTAAAGTCTGTATCACACTATAGCACTAAAATGTATAAAATGTGGACAAGAGCTTAGCTTAGACAATCTGCAGATTTAGGAGCTTATGTTTTATTTTATTTTTAGGAGCTTTATATTTAGGAGCAGGGTAATGATACCATGTACAGCCCACACGGGGAAGGGCTATCTGTTTCAAAACAAGTTGGAAATAAACAGTTGAAGTTTACAGTCAAACTGTTTTAATAACTAGATACATGTGTTTGTGATAAAACTTACCAGGATCTGCGATTTTTGTGTAGAAACCATTGTATGGTTGCTTTGTAGGTGCTGATTATAAATTATATGCTGTTCCAAAGCCTAACTCCAACAATGATTTGCATGCAACTGTTACATGTAACATAAATGTTAGTATGTTCAACGCACAAACTTGAATTAACTATTTGAGAAATACTGAGCTGAAGGCCAGAAAGGATTGCACATCACACTGGCAGGGTGATAAAACAGAATTAGAAAGGGAGTGAGAGACCACTGTTAGTCAGCCATCACCTTGGGTGGTTATTCACTGCCACCAGTCATGAATGACCTCATCCATGTTGTCATAGTCATGCAGGACCTGCAGCAGTGCGCGGTTGTTGTCATGATAGTGATGTATGAGATGAAGCAAGTGGAGTTTGAAATTCAACAGCTGCAAACAAGGGAGACTGGTGAGCTAGCTCCTGCTTTCATCCACGGCAACCAGGGTCCGCCTCTGTGTTTGCCACCAAGGAAAAAATTCATCGTCAGTCAGTTGCAGCCCAATGGGCAGTGGGTGGGAGAGATGTGCTGTGCCAGACCCTGATGGGACTGAGAGGTACTGCATCACACAAGGGCTTTTTGGGAGATGTGTAGGCCAAGCAGCCCCTGGTTGGTTTTGACACCATTCTCCACCCACACAAGCAGTAGCTGCTTGCCTGTGACTTAAGGCTTCCTAAGCAGAGAGGAGGCAGAAATGGCATGGTTTTGGAAGTACACAGAAAGGAATGTAACAGCTGAGGAAAGAAAACCAACTGCTGAAGTAAGCAAAGGTAGTTCCAGCCACAAATAAAGGTCCGGAAAGACTAGGCAAGGTGATAAGGATGGAGAAACTAAAACTCTGTCAACAGTTGGAGGTGAAATTGCATAAAAAATCTCCAGGGTCCCAAGGTTCTCAGGGCACCTGACCAAGGGATATATGAGAGTACGTTAATGGGGATTGTGTCACTGCTTGGTTTCTATACTTGTGCATGGACTGAGGGAACTTCTGTCTGCTAGAGAACAGTCTGTGTTGCTGGCAGCTCAGCTGCCCCCATCCAGATTCACCCCTTTAGTGACACATGGTCTTAGGTGCACAGATCATGCTGCTGTACGAGATGTGCAGCCTGCAGCTTACCTGAGCTAGGAGTGTTTTTTCTGCTTCTAGTGACTTTGGAGGTGCTGAAGAGATGGAGCTGATCCTGCAGATTGGGCCTTTAGAAAGGAGTCATTCTCTGCCTTCAACCTCAGAAGCAGCCCTTTAAACTCACACAGGACATGCCTCACTGATCTATGCAGCAACTCAGCCCCAGAGCGTGTGGCAGAAGTTGAAAATAAACCTTCTCCATTGTAGCAATTCACCACAAAAGCAAAATTTGCTTCTGAGAAGACAAGTTGTTGTCTTCTCATGTCAATAATGCCTACCTTTCACTTAAAAGTGCCAAGGTGTTAGCTCTCCAAGTAAACATCTTAACATGAGCACATAACGTCTGTGAGTGAATACAGCCTGTGCAATCCAATAATTTATTAAATTTTCATCTTGTAAAGCCAGTTACAAATTAAAAAAGACAGCAGAAGGAATTCTGTAATAGAAATGAGCAAAATTACAACAAATATTAATGGAAGTTACATTTCCAAGTGGGTTCAAGCTGCCTGCAGCAACCCAAGAGCCAGAACACAGAGCACAGAGCTAGTGCCGTTAGGAGAGGGGTAATCAAGGCTATTCTGATCCATGAAGCTATCTAGTCAGTGTATGGACTGATACAAAGTGTTGCTTCTCAGGTTACCTCTGCATTCCTGTTCTCTCTCACTTCAGACCTGGCCAGCTTTTTTTTTTTTATTCTTCGTGACAAAAAGGGGAAGTTTGTGGGATCCTTCAGTAATGCTATTTAAGGCAAAACTCCAGTCGAAGGTGTGACACACAACAGTGCCTCTCCTCTTAAGCTGGTTTTGTGGCAAGTGGACAGCGTTTGCACATGCTGCAGTGCAGTGGGAATGAGAGAAAAGCTTGGATTATGTGCAGTGTTTCTTCTTGTACTGTCAACCTCAAAAGTACAGCGTTCTGCGACACAGTGTTAGTGACAGGGCACAACCTGCTGCTGAACTGGAACGGAACCTGTTGCATACTGACTCCTATTTCTCTTTTCTATGAAATTTCTACTTCATAGCTAACAGGCCTTAGCTGCCACTTCTTCAGAAATGGAGATACCCGATGTTAAAAGTGCAACAATGCCCACATCATATAGAGCTCTTCAGTTTCATTAAGAAAGTGCATGGGCCTTTGCATTATGGGATCCCAAGACTAGTCAAGGCTCATAAAAAATGACCACCATGGTTTTTGATTGCTAATACAACCAATTTATGATGTCACTGATATTGTATATTGTTTGAAATAATAAAACCAAGTTTCTGAAGTCATGAGACTGAAGATGACCATCTTTCACAGAGAAGACAAAATAAAATCTGCTTCTTTGAATTTAATGTAGCTATAAAAATCTCCAAGAAGCAGTTGTTTTGGCAAAACAGCGTTGTTTTCAGGTTTTCTTGATGACTAGGGACCTAGAGGAGACTGGAAGGTGATCTGAGGATTCAGTGATGGAAGAAGTTCCAATTAGAATTTGGAGCATGAAGGTTTTGGCATCTGCTTACAGTGGTACAGAGGAAGTGAAATTCTTGCCTATAACAATTTATCTAGGCACCTCTTCACCCTGTAGGAAATGGTTCACTTAAAACTGAAGTTCAGGGATCCCAGTCATCCTAAAATCCCATATAGAGAAAGAAGGAACTTGCCACAGGTAGGCTCTGCTCACCACAAAAACCCTTGACTTCCATCTGAAACTTGGAGTTTGGGACGAGCAGCTCTTCTGTAAATGCAACTGCATCAGTCTTACCTCCTGGGCTGTACAGGGAAAAGGCAGTCATTAATTTTTAGGCAACAGGTGTTGCTTGGAATGTACCTGCAATGGCACCTGATGATCTGTTTCAGTGGTGCTAGTCCTAAAGATTTTCTCCTGTGTTGGATTATCTAGGACTTTATAATAAAGTGCCTTTTTTTTTCAGTTGTGTACCTGCAAACTTCTGTTGGAAGATCAAGAATCACCTTGGGTGTGCGTGTGTGTGTTTAATGCTCTCTCATATAGCATTTGACCTCTTAGTTGGATCACTTGCCTTCAACTGTACAAAGGCATTTTCTTTCAAAACCAGATCATATCATTAACTAATGAATCCCGAAAAAAAACCAAAAAACCAAACCAAAAACCAGTGACTTATATTTTGGAGTTGCTTGCAAAATAAATAAAACCCAGATATTTTTCTAGCAGACCACGCTGCAATCCCATGACCCCAGATGTTTTTATGTTGAAAATTCATGACGAAGCTTAATTAAGTCTGTCTCCTCTAGTGCAGAACTGATTCTTGTCAATTTTTCTGCCAGTATGACAGGTGATATGATAAAAGCAGCAGAGAGGACTCGCAGGAGAAGGAGGATGCTTCTGACTTTGCTTCCTTAAGGTACATTGTTCATCAAACAAGCAAGGGGAAAACAAGTTTTGGGTCATTAGTATTCAACAATTTGTTATTGTTTAATGTCTTTGGGCAGAGGTGCAAATCCTACGGTACTGTGGATGTCATTTCAGATTTTAAATACAGTGGTCAGTCAAGTGGAGTTCTTAAAAAACATCTTCGCTACACGTGTGCTGGCAAGTTGCAAATACCAATCACAGAACGAGTGCCTCTCTCTCGTGGCAGTTCATCTGTATCACCTAGTCCAGATGCTAGCATGACTGTCCACACTGGTGGCTGATTTGACGCTGCAGCGTTTCTTCACGATCATGTTGATGTATGCTTTCATGATCTTTATTATCTCGCCCACCTAGAGAGACAACACACAATAGAGGCTAAGCACACCAAAAAAACAGTTCCACTGAGGCACACCAGGTATTTTGCACAAAGATGTCCCTTGCCTAAAGTCACGGCACTATAAATTTTGCATGAAATACTAAATTTGAGCACAATAGTAAGGAAAGAAATGTTTGACAAGTCTGTGCTCTGTTGTAGTGACACTTGAAAGGCTTGTAGCTCTAACTAAAGCAACTTGTAATGCTACTAAATTTTTTTTTTTTTTTTTAAATTTGTGAACTCCTCCTTCATATACTGGAAGAAAACTAAAACACCAAGCACACTCATGAGCCCCCAAAACTGGAACTTCCCAGGGCACTGGAAGACCTTCACTTTCTAACCAGCACCATTATTTTTTCTGTTTATCCCTGTATTCAAGAAGAGGTACCATGGTACTTTAGGCTTAACCTCCCTTCATCTTTTTCCTTGGCTGTCCAGTTCCATTCAGCAACAGCAGGAGTTCTTGCATATGAACTTGTCTAGTCCTCGGAAATTAGAGCTTTACAGAGGTGCTAGTAAAACTGCATATAAAACAAAGCCTTGTGCTGTCATATACCTGGGATGTTTCAAAGAACATTTCCCTCTCATCCACTGTAATTTTGAAGGTGTTAGGCTGTGGTGCTCCGAAGAAAACAATGTGTTCATACTGGAAAGTTTCTAGTGGTTTAGCATCCCCTCGTTTGTAGACAGACACGTTCTCTGTGCTGACTCCAAGCCAAAGATCATTTGGAAATCCACCCTCCTTGCACTGCAGAAAGAGAAACATGAAATTTTGCATAAATGCAGTAGAGGATCTAATAATTTTTGCTTCAAGGAAAAGCCCTCCATTTCTGGATCCTATAGGACATTTCAACTCTTCACCCCAATAGAAAACAAAGAAAAAATAAAAAGAGGATGTCTGCAGAAGGAATCTTGCAGGCACTCCTGCTGCAAAGGTCTAGAAGTGATGTGGCTGTGAGTCAATTACTAGTTGAGTAATAACTAACTGTAATACCTAAAAGATCTCATCCAATTTTAAACAGATTTAGAAGTCAATATTCCACTTACTATTTTACAGATAACATAGTGAGCGTAAGCAACTTCCCATGGTAATCTACCTAGGCAGCAACACAGCTGACAAAGCTGGAACTGTGGATTCCTGCTCTAGCAGGCTAAGCACAGTGGTCTAAGTGACCCAGTCTGAGCAGCTTCTGTTGCACGGCTGCAGAACAGGATTGCACTTTTTGCCAGTAAGGACAGTAGAGCTTTGTTTTGTTTTCACTATCCACCAACTTCTTAGGCCCAAAAATACTTCCCAAATTCCAGTGCTCTTCTACCAAAGTGTGAATCCACTGTCTCCCTCCACGCAGCAGGACCCAGCAGCTTGCTTCCACTGGGCAATCTGAGTTGCTTCTCTTTGGGTACATGGTCCTGCAGGCTTACCCTAAGCTTGCTAAGGCAAATTGCAGCCAGCTCCCAAAATTCCTTTCTGATGCTGAGCAATGTAATACACACAGCTGTACCTGTTCTCCAGATTGATGCTGCTTCTTGGCACTAGTCACATGAGTTTATACACCACTCACCTCAACATCAAAAAGGGTTGACCCGTAACCTGGCCACTCCTTTACAATGGACATGTATTTCACCATGGCCTGATGCTGAGAGAGTCCCTGCAGCTTGGTCCATTTCTGTGCTATGCTTGCCCGAGCAGCTGAAAGCTCTTCCTTTACCCACATCTCCATCATCTGCTCCTCTTCTACTTTCTGCTTCTTTACAGAGCCTGTCTTGAAACTCCGTTTCAATGTCCCTTCAAGGAAGCTGGTCCGTCTCCTCTCCAAAGTATGACTGGTAGAGCCACTGCTCTTTGTTGAGTGCAGTATTTTGGATCTTAGTCTGTTAACTGGGTAGATGCCATCAAGGGTCCAACTTATTTTAGAATAATCTCCATGAAGATACTGCAGCCGTAGAGCTGCTAGGCGCTGCAGAGTGTCCTCTGGTGCAGGAAAATGACCATCTATGAGGCTTTCATGAGCCTACAAACAAACAAGAAGTCCACCAAACCCATGAGAAAGCAGAAGCATGGTTTATTTACAGCTGGGTCCATGTACAGATCCCTATGGCATCCCAACAGAAAAGCCAATCTCAGCAGCAAAAACATAATTCAGGAGGCCAAAGCAGACATTGTAAAAAAGAAGTCTGCAACTAGTCAGTGTAGGGGGAACACCTCTTTCTGCAAGCCTGGGCAGGACAGAGACCTCTGAGGGAGATTATATTCAACCCCAGAGAGTTAGATATAATAAACTCAAAACTCTTAACCTCAGTGTCATTACACACTGGCACCTCCCACTTCCTCCTCTTTTACCTGATGTGTCCTCCAAGCTTCTTGTTTCCCTCTGCTTGATTTTTCTGTGAAATGTTATTTATGGGTTTTTTTAGCTACCTCCATCTAATGTCTGCCTAACATCTACTCTCCTACTCTTACTTCTAACACTCTTTGCTACTGAATGCAGTGTAGACTGAAAGCCTTGTCAACAGGGAGTTTGGTACAATTGAGTTCCACAGTACCATGATGTCATGTTCCTGACCATTTCCTAGACATTCCATAGCTAACAATATTTCATCCTCATTTCAAGAAAATCCTCTTAGAGAACCATTGTCTGTGACATACATGTCATCTATTTGACTATCAGTGAGCTTCAGTCTTCATCAGACCGACCACACTGACCTCCTGTAACACTTATTAAATCAATTTTCAACAGCTATCATTTTCTGAGGCAAGATCAAAGTGTTCATTAGAAGTAATAAAGATGGGAGGAATCACACAGCTGGGTACTCCAGTCAGTTGAATTTTGCATCCCTAATTGCAAGGTTATTTCATACCAGTGTGATCTCTGGCCTAACATGCATCATTGTGCTAGGGAGCATAGTGACTTAAAAAAAAAATATTACTGAGCAGATGAATGTTGTCAACTATATTCTCTTTTCCTTTTTCTGTAGTACTTTTCTAAGGTCTGTTAATCAAAAGAAATTGCCCAAATGGTAATGTTTTTTTTAGTGAATTCCTATAACACCCCAGGCTTGTGCTGTTCTTGTAAGCTGATCTGCAGATAGCTAGGCTTTCCAGTTTTCTTTACACTTATGTTCTGCAAGCAGACACTTTTATTGATTCTTCTTGAATTATTATCCAAATTTCTGTATCTTTCAAAATTAGAGATCAGCTTTAAAAGCATTTTATTATCTTTGGTCTTCCAGATTCTTTTAAGCCCTTACTAATTTTTTTTTGCTTTTGTTCTAATACTCTCCATTCTTAGAGAACTTTGCAGTAGACCTGCTTGGTAGATGCCAGGCAGAAATCCAACACCAAACTGTTCTTTTCCAACCAGTGTTCCCACTTCTAATGCTAAGGTAAGCCCTTTTTCTGTATACTCTTTTGTGTTTCTGCCATCCTGGAAACCACATCATTCTCTCAGAGTGAGCTTACCTGCTCAAACATGAAGGCAAATTCCACCCCATCTTTTGGAACATTCTCAATATCTAAGAAGCAATAAAGCTTAAAATACAGCTGCCACTGTCCTTCCTCCTCTTCTTCTTCAGAGCCAGCAAGTCTATAAGATAGGAAAGAGAAAGAGAAGTGAAAAAAAACAGTAACTAGAAGCACCATGGTACTGGGATATCCAAAGTGCAACTCACAATATGAAGATACCCTTGGATTTCTGAAAGAGAGGGCATACAGACCTACCTAATTTAGTCTTAGTGCAGCAAAATTTTTTTGCTAACTTCCTTTTTTTTTTTTTCTCCTCTGAGTCACACAAAATTTTGATTCAGAAGGACTCAACATTCTTACCAGAAATACTTAATGAAAAAATGAGATCAGTGTTTATAGCAAGAACAGGGGGCAGGACAGAAGAGTATTCCTGATTTTCAAGATCCTGTTTCCATGTAATCTGGTGATTGCGAAAAGCCAAATGGCCTTGCTGCCATTTGGTACAATTTCACTTTTGTCTTTAGAACAGACATAGAATAGGCAATGGCATTGCCAGCTTCTTTCACTTTTTATTGCTTTCTTTTTATGTCTCGCCACAAAATCATAATCCACAGTAAGAAGTCAGAGCTGCATTTCCATGTGCAAATCTTTACTCTCTCTTCTGATGATGTATTATGATGTAAATTGACAAGATTATCAGACTTAAGCAAAATCTTCCCTGAGCTCTGCTAGTAAATTATTACTCTTTGATAAAAGCACTACTAATTTTGTCCTGATGAGCCTGATAAAGATTGCATCTTTCTCACTGAAATAGACGTGAACATAGTTTTCCACACAGTGAGAGAGAACACTTGAACCTTACCGAAGTTCAAAACAGAGGGATGCAATTGCTTTGATAAAACTACCTGACTGTAGTATCACTTAACCCAGTGTTTCACCCAATTAGGAGTTAAAGGTTTTATGAAACATTCTTCTACCTCTCAAACTTAGCCAAGATATCAGCCACAATCACCCGACTCTCAACAGCACGGTCCACCTGCTGGTTATGTTCAAAGAGTGCAAACATATTGCGGCTGTCCTCCATTGCCAAACCTCGGATCAGCTTTTCAACCACCTGCAGAATCAGAGAGAGACCGACCACAGAGTAGGTATGACATGTGCTTGCACAGCACAGAATCCATACCTCTGAAGAACACTTATTTCATAGACCTCCATCACATTTCTCCCTTAGTTATCACATTCTCAGATCAAAGGATTCTAACCTTGAAAGATCATTCCCTGTGAGGAAGTCATTATTTGTATTTGATCATCTTCACTGTTCTCTGAACCTTTTCAATCTCTACTAACCTTCTGAAGATGGGGGAATTAGACTTCTGCGCAAGAAACAGGCACACAGCAGATCTGGAAGTCATGATGACATTCTCAGTTCCTCTAGTAACAATTCCACTCTTTACTACTATTTTCACCTCTGGTTAGCACTGACGTTTTCACAGACATGCCTACTATAACCTGGAATGTTGCTTCTGGCCTGCTGATGATCAAGTTACTGGTAGAATATCCCTTCCATAAGGATTACATTATGAATTGGTATTTCAACTTGCCCAAAAAACCGTGTTTAGCAAGTCTTCAGAATTATTACCTTTCCCATGGGCAGAACACCAAAAGTGTTTAGATCTTGCAACACAACTGATAAGTGATATTCTACAACCCAGGCATAGGCCTTGCATAATTCTGAACCTGCAGAATAAGCTGAGCTTTACCTACAGACTTTGAAGATACAGAAAAGAAACTGCTATTGAAAAATAAAAAAAAATAAATTGGAGATGAAAGGGAAAGGAGTCACTTCAACAAACTCAGTATCTCGACACCGAGACGTGCTTACATCTGGTTAGTGCTACTACTGCATTACCTCCCCAGCACTTGTGTGGGAATTAATGGTTATTTTGCAGGAGCCCCCGCCATGGCAGTACACTGTTGTGGTCATTTCTTCACGGGTGAGAAGAGCCTGTATTTCCTCCTGGGAAGGCACAAACTCCCTTGTCTTTGTTCTCTTCAGAGATTCATTTATGAATTGTGCATACTTGTCTATTTCTGAGCCTGGAAAGAGGTCTTTGACCCTAATTGTAGAAAGAAGAAAAATAAGCCCATTACACAGTGAGCCGGAAAGCATGCACATTATCATATAACTTTGACTACTGTCTGTGAAGACTGCAGCAGAGACAGTGATGTCAAGTGCAGCCACAGGAAGAATAAGCCTGCTGATTTTGCAAACCATACAACCTGCCCTTACTAGTAATTTAAAAGTCACTTTGGTGGCATTTCTCAGTAATGTATGAAATAAGCAATTCAAACTTTCAGAAGTTTACTACCAGCTGAAGATAGTAGGAATTTACAAAATTGAGATTAGAAACTATGAAATCAAATGTAAATTTTTTTTTTTCCCCATTTATTCTTAACTGTTTTTTCATTTGCAGGCTGTGCTTGAGCCACTTTCACAGTATTTTTCAGAATCGAGAAGACAAAGTCGATGCTTGTGTGTAGGCAGTTCTAAGTATAACATCATCTGCAACTCCAGGGATAAAAACACGAAATGGCAACATGGACTATTCCTCAATGTCTCTTAGAACCAAGCCCTAGATGTACCTATTTGGTGTTTTGGCCTGGAAGGAATCAAATAGATTTTACTGATCTTTCTCATCATTAATGAATGGAGTGAGGCTACACGGCTGCAGCTCAGCCCCAGTGCAGACTGTTTTGACAAGCTGCATTAGATGGTGAAGATTAATTGGGAAGAAATATAAGTTATTTAGCTCATGAAAACTGAAGGTTAAAACGGATCAGAAATACAAATTGTAAGCATTATGTGTTTAGTTAAGCAAATATTGAGAAATTATAAATTGAATTTACAGTATATCTACTACTTCACAGTATGCATTCTGCCTGTGGCAGCTTGAAGGTAGTACATATTCCAATGTGTATGAAAGTATGGTCCTCACCTTTCCTGCAGGCTGAGAATGTTTATATGGACATCAGTAAGCAACAAGTCATCAGATGTAAATGCACTTTACCACAGCCCCACGGTATTCTGTTTGGGTAGCCTTGCCTTCCACGTCCGTTTGACGCAACATGTGGGTGGCAACATGGGAGCTGGGACACAACTGAACAACTGGTAGCAAGAATTGTGCACAAAGGCAGGAGGCTGCGACAGCACAGGAAGATGTTTGCACAGGAGGAGGACGAGACAGGTAACTACAAGAGGGGAAGATAAGCAGAGAGGAAGGAAAGAGGCCTCATACCTTCTCAGATGGAACCTGAGGTAGCGCAGGATCCCTCTGCTGGGCAGGAACGTGCAGCTCATGCAGGACATCAGCTGCCAGTGGTGCAGGTTCCCAGTACTGTTGGGATGTGGCATGTGGTTAGTCTGTTTGATGAGCTGACAGTACACTTCATCACGAAGGGGCTTTAAATCGTGGCAGGTCTGCAGAATGCCTTGGATAATGGGTATGGGATCAGACACCGTTTCAATTTCCTGAAGGGAATTGAAGATCTTCACAGCTTCATCCTGTAAGCTGCTGTAACCCTTCTCTTGTTGCACTGGGGAATGATCACACAGGTGAAAAGAGGTGAGCATTTCCTACTGGCCCAGCCACACTACAAGCAACTGTACCAGTCTCTCACAGACCACCACTGAGTCTCAGCTCATCTCCTGGACTTAAATTTATACTCAAAATTCACTGATGATTCCTCTTTAAATGTGAAAATGCAGTTTTAATCAGTATTTGCCAACATCTAACCTGTCACCACTACAAATCCATTTTTGGATATACGGTGCAGAAAAGCAGAGTAATGTGTTTAAGGGAAACTAGCACTGAAATCTAGTTCAGGCTTCAGTGTCTGTAGTTGAGGTGCCAAGAGACTACTTTTGGCACCTCACCTGCAGACACAGGTGAAGGGGTGGCAGAAAATCATCACTGCGTAAACTGTCTCCTCACCTGAGGGCAGCTAAAAAGCAGGATGTCACTAATACAGTTAAAGCTTTAGGTGCCTGAATGCAGACACCAAAGCCTAGCTTGAGTACTTCGAAAATTCTGTGTTGTGCCCATATTAGCTTTGACCCCTGAGTCAACACAGAATTTTGGTAAATTGCTGTACCACAGATATAGCTTTTAGGTACCATTTAGATTTTAAATGCCTTTGCCAAAACTAGTTACATTTTTTTAAAACACTATGCTGGTTTAAAAGTAAACCAGTGAGAGACATGAATTTAGAGAGACCAGAAGTCAGAGCTACACTTTACTGAAAGGATTCAAGGAAATCAAGGAAAATTGCCACAG